GGTCATGGGATCACCTTTTGCAACCTTCTGACAAGCAAAGTCAATGGGGAAGCCGCATTCACTTAATAATCGTGTTATTAACTTAATTGCAGAGATTCATTTAACAATTGTGGCAAAAGTTGTAAAATGGAAAGAAACTCACTTAATAACTGTCATGCTTAGCAACAGAAATTTTGGATTCAATTGTGGTTTGAAATCGAGGACTACTACCTGTAGTTTTATAATATAAAATCATATAATAATGTTAAAAGTTTATGATCTTGTGGGGTTGCATTACTAGCTGTCCAGAACCTCATGGGCCCTGTGTGCAGTGGGTTGGACATGCCTGGTCAAATGGTTAAAGTAACAGCCTAGAAGCGAAGAGGCTGTGAGTTCTAGTCAGACCTTGGCATGAAAGTTGGCTGCATGACTTTGGTCCAGTCACTCAGTCTCTCTGCCCATAACATCAGGCTCAAGTGACAAACCGGTTAGTCAATTCCTGTCACAACTAATGGATCAACATTTGATCTAAAAAAAGCACATCCTGCACTTGTGGGAAAAGGCTAAGAAGAAGCTAAAAAGTGAACATATAATGCATACTTTTTTATTTATAGAGAAATCATTGTTTAATGAGTTCAGTGGCTAAAATCTTCGCTTTTGACAACCCAGTGCTCTCCAAAAGGGCTAGACTGTAGTTCCATCAATATTTTTCCAGCATAGCCATTGACAGTTCTGCTGGATAATGATAAAATAACCAAAATGTATAAAGTTGAAGAATGCTGTCCTAGATGAAAGCCAAAGTAATGCTTTTCCTTTTGCTTTCCCTGTTTTAGTTGTATATTTACAATTAATCCATGTTCCACATTGCTCCCTTTGTCCTGCTTTAGATGAATTGGTTGCCTTCTTCCGGGATGTTGCATCTGAAGCTCCTAATATCCCATTCTATTATTATCACATTCCTCCTATCACTGGCATTAAAAGTAAGTGCTACAAATGTAGAAATCCAGTTTATTTCAAGATAACTTTAGTTATAAGCAGCTCTATTTTATTTATTCAGTTTACATTTTAAATTTCTGTAATTCATTTTCACTACCTTGAATTTTTAAATCATGTCTAAGTAATGTTCCTTTAAGGCTGCTATTCTATGCTTGTTTTCATCCAAGGAAACTTTCTTGAACAGAGTAGAACTGATTTATTGGTGAAATTAGAGAATAAGGCACTTCACAATAATATAGTACAGGTAGTCCTCGACTTAAAACAGTTCATTTAGTGACTGTTTAAAGTTACAGTGGCAGTGAAAAAAGTGACTTATGACTGTTTTTCACACTTATGACCATTGCGGCATCCCCATGGTCACATTGACTCATATTTATGACCATTGTTGTGTCCCAGGATCATGTGATCACCTTTTGTGATCTTCTGACAAGCAAAATCAATGGGGAAGCCAGATTTAACAACTGTATCACAAATTTAACAACTGCAGAGATTCAGCTATGGCAAGAAAGTTCGTAAAATGGGACAAAATTTGCTTAACAAATGTCTCCCTTCAAAACAGAAATTTTGGGCTCAATAGTGGTTGTACATCGAGGACTACCAATAGGTCAGACCCAAATATCTTAATTGGGAGTGGTTTTAAAAAAATATCTGGAAGATGCCACATTGCAAAAAATTGCTCAAGGAAAAGCTTCCCACTTTTAATAACCATTCTTGGCTTTGTTGAGTAGAATTGCAACACAGTATACATGTTTCATAAACAAATAAGTTTAGTTTATTATTGCAATGACTCTTGCTTGATCAGATGTGAAAACTTTGTTTACTGTGAATCTCTTTTTGTACAGTTCGTGCTGAAGAATTATTAGATAGTATGAAGGAACAGATTCCTACCTTTAAGGGGGTGAAGTTCAGTGACAGAGACCTCCTGGATTTGAGGCAATGTGTGCAAAAAAGTGAACAAGACAGTTTTATGTTTCTGTATGGTGTGGATGAGGTAAGGGTTTTATATAGAAAATGGTAGCTATAGTAGACATAAGATGGCTTCCTCTGAAAATATAACTAAATAGAGTTTTGAATGTCCTCTCTGAGGACATCCCAAAAAACCTGATGAATATTCCTAGTGCTTTCCTTGAGCAAAATAAGATATATTTTAACTAAGTTATATGTTCTATATGGCCACAGTCCTAGTCTTTCACTGGTTTGGGTGTAAAAGCTGAAATCTGTTGAGTGGAACAATAGACAGAATGGAAAATCAATAGAAGGAGGGAATGAATAGCTGGATGGGCTGGCCCAGGAAATAGGAGATGTGGGTGGCAAATGCTTGCCATCTTGCCAGAGGATCTCTATATGTCAAAAACGGCATGACTGCAATATTGTTGAATGGTGTACAACTGTCAGTTACAACTAGTTTTACTGGAACACGTCAGTTGGCTCCAGTGATGTGTAAATAAAACCAACCATTTTTCTTTCTTACTAAGTAGCAACTCCTGAGTTCACTGGTGATAGGAGCAAATGGGGCAGTTGGAAGGTAAGTTGTCTTTTGTATATGACTGAAAGACCTTTATGAATTGGATGTTGTATCTTCTGTAGAACAGTCTTTCCCAAATGAATGCTTATTAAGGTGAGCTTGAACTGTGACTACTTAAAACTTCTTAGCTAACTTTATTCTAATTACCAGCCAGCATTTTACCCCCAGATCTTTTATTTATTTATTTGTTTGTTTGTTTGTTTGTTTATTTATTTATGAGACTTATATACTGCTTTAAGTGCGAGCACTCTCTAAGCCAGGGGTCAGCAACCTGCAACAGTGAAAGAGCCACTTGGATCCATTTCCCTCACAAAAAAAAAATCCTGGGAGCCGCAAAATGTGCGCGCGCACACTGCGCGCACGCGCATGCGCACAGAACACAGGGCTTGATTGAAGAGAGGAGCTTAAGGCGAAACGTGCGCCTGCCCTGCCCCCCATCCAGCTCTGGTATGAACGGCTCTGCAGTCCTGGCTTCTCTTCCCTTCGGAAAAGACTGCTCTCCCCTCACCCCGCGCTCTCCCTCTCTGGGACTTTCTTCTTGCTGCCTTTTGGCGCGAAGGTTCCCAGGGAGCGGAGGAGGAAGCCGACGGAGAGAAAGAGCTGCTGCAGTGAATGTTCTGAGGCAGCAGAAGACGGTCGCTCGGGCTCGCCTATCTCAGCCTGCTGCAGGAGGCTGGAGTTGAGGCTTCTGGTTTGCTCTGGGAGGGGTGCTTGGAAAAGGGAGGATGGGAAGCGGAAAGTGGGAGAAAGGACGCCTTCCAGCTCTCTGGGGTTCTTTCACTGGGAGGTGAGGAAGCAGCAGTTCTGCTCCGTGGGAGGTGGGAGCAGGCAGCCTCTCCTTCAAACTTTGCCAAGTGACTCCAGGAGCGAAGCGAGCTACGAGTCCTAGGAATGTCAACTTTGCGAAAGAGGGAGGCGATGGTGGGATTAAAATAAAACGGGGGGGGGAGGTTGAGGAAACCCAGCAGATGCTTACATCAGAGGGCCAGCAAGAAAGGCAGGGAGAGGAAGAAAGCTTTCGGGGCTTGTGCACAGACATAGCGGACTCTTTCTCGTCTCCTGCCCTTGCTGCATCTCCTGTGGAGATCATTTGCAGCTCTCTGTGTCTCTGCAGCTTGCTTCTTGAAGCGATTTCAATCAGCCCCATTCATTGCCAAGAATCCCCATGGAAGTCAATGGAGGTCTGCGGCGAATCAAAAAGCCAGCTGCAGTACCTCCACGTCCGTTGATTTGACCGGCTCAGCGGCCCGGGGACGAGCAGGAACCGATGCCCCCACTGCCCGCCGGGCTTGCTGCCTGGCCTGGGGAAACACAAGGCAGGCTCAGCGCCCCGGGGACGGCCAAAACCCAATGCCCCTGTCGGCCGCACTGCCGCCCAGCCCGGGGAGACGCGAGGCAGGCTCAGCGCCACGGGGACGGCCAAAATCCAATGCCCCTGCCGGCCGCCACTGCCGCCCAGCCCGGGGAGACGCGAGGCAGGCTCAGCACCCCGGGGACAGCTACAAACAAATGTCCCCGCCACTTGCTGCCTGGCCCGGGAAAAAACAAGGCTGGCTCAGCGGCCCGGGGACGGCTACAAACCAATGCCCCTGCCACCTGCCGCACGGCCCGGGAAAATGCAAGGCTGGCTCAGTGGCCCGGGGACGGCCAAAACCCAATGCCCCTGCCGGCCGCCACTGCCGCCCAGCCCGGGGAGACGCGAGGCAGGCTCAGCGCCCCGGGGACGGCCAAAATCCAATGCCCCTGCCGGCCGCCACTGCCGCCCAGCCCGGGGAGACGCGAGGCAGGCTCAGCGCCCCGGGGACGTCTACAAACAAATGTCCCCGCCACTTGCTGCCTGGCCCGGGAAAAAACAAGGCTGGCTCAGCGGCCCGGGGACGGCTACAAACCAATGTCCCCGCCGCCTGCCGCACGGCCCGGGAAGATGCAAGGCTGGCTCAGTGGCCCGGGGACGGCCAAAACCCAATGCCCCTGCCTGCCGCCACTGCCGCCCAGCCCGGGAAGATGCGAGGCTTGCTCAGCGGCCTGGGGATGGCTACAAACCAATGCCCCCGCCGCCTGCCGCATGGCCGGGGAAGATGCGAGGCTGGCTCAGCGCCCTGGGGACGGCCAAAAACCAATGCCCCTGCCGGCTGCCACTGCCGCCCAGCCCGGGGAGGCGCGAGGCAGGCTCAGCGCCCCGGGAACGGCCAGAAACCAATATCCCCGCCGTCTGCCGCCCGGGGAGACACGAGGCCGGCTCAGCGGCCCGGGGACGGCTACAAACCAATGCCCCTGCCGCCCAGCTCGGGAAGATGCAAGGTCAGCTCAGCGGCCCGGGGACGGCCAAAACCCAATGCCCCTGCCGGCCGCCACTGCCGCCCAGCCCGGGGAGACGCGAGGCAGGCTCAGCGCCCCGGGGACGGCCAAAATCCAATGCCCCTGCCGGCCGCCACTGCCGCCCAGCCCGGGGAGACGCGAGGCAGGCTCAGCGCCCCGGGGACGTCTACAAACAAATGTCCCCGCCACTTGCTGCCTGGCCCGGGAAAAAACAAGGCTGGCTCAGCGGCCCGGGGACGGCTACAAACCAATGTCCCCGCCGCCTGCCGCACGGCCCGGGAAGATGCAAGGCTGGCTCAGTGGCCCGGGGACGGCCAAAACCCAATGCCCCTGCCGGCCGCCACTGCCGCCCAGCCCGGGAAGATGCGAGGCTTGCTCAGCGGCCTGGGGATGGCTACAAACCAATGCCCCCGCCGCCTGCCGCATGGCCGGGGAAGATGCGAGGCTGGCTCAGCGCCCTGGGGACGGCCAAAAACCAATGCCCCTGCCGGCTGCCACTGCCGCCCAGCCCGGGGAGGCGCGAGGCAGGCTCAGCGCCCCGGGAACGGCCAGAAACCAATATCCCCGCCGTCTGCCGCCCGGGGAGACACGAGGCCGGCTCAGCGGCCCGGGGACGGCTACAAACCAATGCCCCTGCCGCCCAGCTCGGGAAGATGCGAAGGTCAGCTCAGCGGCCCGGGGACGGCCAAAAACCAATGCCTCTGCCGGCCGCCACTGCCGCCCAGCCCGGGAAGACGCGAGGCTGGCTCAGCGGCCCGGGGAGGGGCAGGAACCGATGCCCCCGCCGGCTGCTGCCCCCGCTGGGCCTACCGCCTGGCCCGGGGAAGGGCAGGAACCAATGCCCCTGCCGGCCGCTGGCCCCGCCAGGCCTGCTGCCCAGCCCAGGGAGACACGAGGCCGGCTCGGCTGCCCCTCCGCCTGGTGCAGGTAAGCCCCCTCCCTCCTCCCCACTCACCCTCCATCTCCGGGTCTGCTCCTGCTTGGCCCACTAGGGCCGCAGCTTGCGGGAGGGCTGGCCCTTTCAACGGAGGCTCTGCTGGGCCGCTCCCAGCATCGATCCTGGGGCTTCCCCGCGCGGCTCTCTGGCCACATGCACCTCGGACTGGGCCAGCCCCGGAAAGGCCCTTCCTGGCCACCAGGAGGCAGGGCATCCGGCTGCAGGGCCAATCGGGAGCAAGGGGAAAATCTGCATGTGTGTGAGAGAGAGAGAGATAGAGAGAAGGGAAGCACAAATGCCTCTCTGTCTCTGTCTGTCTCTCTCTCTATGAAAATGGCGGAGAAGGCTCCGGAGCCGCAGGAGGTGGCTCAAAGAGCCGCATGCGGCTCCGGAGCCGCGGGTTGCCGACCCGTGCTCTAAGCGGTGTACACCAGTAAGCAATGTATATATATATTTACATTGCCCCCAACAATCTGGGTCCTCATTTTACCTACCTCGGAAGGATGGAAGGCTGAGTCAACCTTGAGCCGGTGAGATTTGAACTGCTGACCTGCTGAACACAGTCAGCTAAAGTGGCCTGCAGTACTGCACTGTAACTGCTGCGCCACCTCGGCTGAGACTGAAACTAAAAGCACTCATCTTGAGAACTCTATTCTCAGAATTGTTTAGTCCACGGGTTGGCAACCCGCGGCTCCGGAGCCGCATGCGGCTCTTTGAGCCACCTCCTGCGGCTCCGGAGCCTTCTCCGCCATTTTCATAGAGAGAGAGACAGACAGAGACAGAGAGGCACTTGTGCTTCCCTTCTCTCTATCTCTCTCTCTCTCACACACATGCAGATTTGCCCCTTGCTCCCGATTGGCCCTGCAGCCGGATGCCCTGCCCCCTGGTGGCCAGGAAGGGCCTTTCCGGGGCTGGCCCAGTCCGAGGTGCATGTGGCCAGAGAGCCGCGCGGGGAAGCCCCAGGATCGATGCTGGGAGCGGCCCAGCAGAGCCTCCGTTGAAAGGGCCAGCCCTCCCGCAAGCTGCGGCCCTAGTGGGCCAAGCAGGAGCAGACCCGGAGATGGAGGGTGAGTGGGGAGGAGGGAGGGGGCTTACCTGCACCAGGCGGAGGGGCAGCCGAGCCGGCCTCGTGTCTCCCTGGGCTGGGCAGCAGGCCTGGCGGGGCCAGCGGCCGGCAGGGGCATTGGTTCCTGCCCTTCCCCGGGCCAGGCGGTAGGCCCAGCGGGGGCAGCAGCCGGCGGGGGCATCGGTTCCTGCCCCTCCCCGGGCCGCTGAGCCAGCCTCGCGTCTTCCCGGGCTGGGCGGCAGTGGCGGCCGGCAGAGGCATTGGTTTTTGGCCGTCCCCGGGCCGCTGAGCTGACCTCGCATCTTCCCGAGCTGGGCGGCAGGGGCATTGGTTTGTAGCCGTCCCCGGGCCGCTGAGCCGGCCTCGTGTCTCCCCGGGCGGCAGACGGCGGGGATATTGGTTTCTGGCCGTTCCCGGGGCGCTGAGCCTGCCTCGCGCCTCCCCGGGCTGGGCGGCAGTGGCGGCCGGCAGGGGCATTGGTTTTTGGCCGTCCCCGGGGCGCTGAGCCAGCCTCGCATCTTCCCGGGCCGTGCGGCAGGCGGCGGGGGCATTGGTTTGTAGCCGTCCCCGGGCCGCTGAGCCGGCCTCGTTTCTCCCCGGGCGGCAGATGGAGGGGATATTGGTTTCTGGCCGTCCCCGGGGCGCTGAGCCTGCCTCGCGCCTCCCCGGGCTGGGCGG